GGCCCAAGCACTGGGTCATCTTCCACTGCTTTTCCCAGGTCATTAGCAGGGAGCTGGATTTTTAAGTGGAGCAGCCAGTACACAAACCTTTGCCAATACGGGAGGCTGACATTATGGGTATCACGGGTGGTGGCCTAACCTACTACACCACAATGCTGGCCACCTTATGAACTTTCTGAAGTATTGTTGTATAAAAAGGTGTTTTGCCTCACTAATAGGTAAAGAAATGTGGATTTAAAAAATATCTTTATTTTGCTTGGCTAGCATCTATTATGTGGATAACTCGTATCAGGTATTTTTTTCTTATTCACTGCAAACAAAATTCCTGTAAAGAGGTCACTAATGTAATGTCCATTTCCTAGGCAGGGAATCTGAGGTCCAGCAGCGTTAATATGACTGTGGACATGGTAAATAAGGAGGAGGATGAGCAAAGTGCCATTTTACCTTTGAGTTTTGCAAAGATTAAATGACCAGTGATAAAATGAAAAATACGCATGGCTGCCCCCAGCAATTTCACCTACAAAAGTTTATTCCAGGGAAATAGCTGTGTGAGTACAGTAGGGTTTTTACAAGGATGTTTAGTGCTGTATTATTTATAATGGCAAGTAATTAGAACAACTAAATGTTCTTCAAGGGATTAGTGATATGCGTAGACACATCCACATATGCAAAGTCAAAATTCCAAGTAGTTGTTAAAAAGAATGATGCAGTCCAACCTAATTTGGTTTAGAAACATAAGGTCTTGTTATATTGTTCAGTGGGAGAAAAAGGGAGGTTACAAAATAGCATGGAAATTATAAGCCTATTTTTGTAAAATAAATTGTCTTTAGTTAACCAGAGAGAAACGTCTAGTTGCATATGCCATGGCTACACTTATAGAGGCACTGGATTATAGTTTATACTCTGTATAATCTGAATACTCTGTGCTCTGGGTGTCCTGGCTGTTTGGGCGGTGAACCAGTGGATGAAAGATCTCTCTTGGTAATTCTCTGCTTTTCAAATAAGTAAACAAATTAATTTAAAAAATTTAAAAGTTCATCAAAATGGAATTGAAAGTATGACTATTTTATATGCCAAAATTTTAAAAATCCATGAAGTTTTTTTCATAATATGCATTTTCCATGTATTCTGAAAAACATTTTTTGTACCAAAATAAACTCAAACTTTTATTCCATTTTCCACAGACTTTTTTTTTTAAGATTTATTTATTTATCTGAAAGGCAGAGTTACAGAGAGGCAGAGGCAGAGAGGTCTTCCATCTGCTGGTTCACTCCCCAGATGGCCAGGACTTTCTTCTGCATCTTCCACGTGGGTGCAGGGCCCCAAGGACTTGGGTCATCTTCTACTGCTTTCCCAGGCCATAGCAGAGAGCTGGTTTGGAAGTGGAGCAGCCGGGACTTGAACTGGGGTACATATGGGATGCTCGCACTGCAGGCGGCAGCTTTACCAACTACGCTCTTCCACCAATTTTTTGAAGTGCCCTTATGTATATATTCCCTTTGTAGTTTGAAATATTGTGTGTGTGTGTGTGTGTGTGTGTGAGAGAGAGAGAGAGAGAGAGAGAGAGAGAGAGAGAGTCGATCTTCTATCCACTGGTCAACTCCCTAAATGGCCACAACAGCTGGGCCTGGGCCAGGTTGAAACCAGGAGCCAGGAACTACATCCTAGTCTCCTGTTTGGGTGGCAGGGCCAAGCATTTGGGCCGTTTTCTGCTGTTTTCCTGGGGCATTAGCCAGGGGCTGGGTCAGAAGTGGAGCAGCTGGGACTTGAACTGGTGCCCATGTGGGATGCCTGTGCTGCAGGCAGCAGCTTATCTCACTGAGCCACAACCCTGGCTGAATGGGACCCGATTTTTTCACTGGGCTGTGAAGGACGGGCTGAGCCCCTGAAGTGGCGCAGCACCTCCTTTATCACTCCTGTGCAGAAGCAGTGATTGCCATGTGCTGTGATGGCCTGGCTTCAGAAAGGAGTCACCAAGGTCCAGGGACCCGCGTGCAGGGGCCACCAGTGTCCCCAGGCCAGGACGTGACTGGGATTTGGGGTTTGCCTGTGATGGTACCTACAGTTTCTTGCTCTAGTGGGTTCTGTGTCTGCCTTTGGACAGATGAGTTAACTCTCTGAATATGTTAGCCACCTTTCCAGGGAACTAGCAGTGCCTATTACTGGAGGATTACATGGGAAAGTGTACAGTGCCAACACAGAAGATTCCGCAGAAGAAATCTGCTGCTGTTGTGGTTATCATTACAGCAGGGTGGATAAACGTATCTCCCAAAGCGGGTAGCAGCAAGGCCAGGGGAATGCGCAGCGATGACAGCAGGGCTGATCCAAGGAGAGGTGGCAGTAATAAAAGTCATGGACGGTGGATGTGCGATAAAGAGAATTGAAGGCACAGAGACCTGCCCACTCTCTTAGGAAGAAGCATTGCTTGGTTGGGTGAAGCACTCATCTGTCAAGGTTACCTTGTAGGAATAAGCTAGTTATGATCTGTATATACATAAACATGTATGCTAAATTTTAATCATTGAAATATGTTATGCTAACATAATTGCTTTTTGCAACATCTCAGTTTTAGCGGCCACATAAGGCATTGGATGTGTCTCATAATATTACTGAACTACTGGTTGACGCGTTAACCATTTGGTCATCCAGGAGACCCTGGGGCAGATACCCTGGGGCCACCTCCCTCTTACCTAATTAGGGTACTGGGAGGAAGATGGGAGGCACGGAGAGGGGTGTTAGCTATAAATCCAATAAACGCAGCTTCTGACGACTCCCCTGTATCCAGGGGCTCTTTTCCCTTTCCTCCTCTTCCTTCTTGCCTTTTCTTTAAAAAAAAAAAAAAAGTATCACATTTGCATTTCCCAAGTATGGCAGATGTCTTATGGAGACCCCTTGGAGAGTCATGATTGTATGCTAAAAAAAAAAAAAAAATACAAAACAGAAGGAAGTGTCTAGGTGACTGCAGTTTGGCGGCTCCAAACTTTGTCTATAGGAGGCGGCGGCAAGGTTGGCAATGGGGCTGTCGCAGGGCGCTGGGAGCCAGGCTGCGTAGCACTAAAGGTGGCAGTGGGACAGAAAAAGGGAGGCCCCCCTCCCGCGTTACAAGGGGACTGCTCTCAGGCACTCTCAATAGCACCTGTGTGCGCCACCTTCAAACACAGCATCTCTGTCCCTAGGCCGACCACAGCCCAGGGGAGAGGGCGAGGGCCAGGGGTTCCTTTGTCGCCCTGGCTATCTGCTAACACGCCGGGACCTGCCAGTTACAACCTGCTTGGTTACTCCGCAAGGCCAACCGCTGGGAGCGGCGCCCGCCGCACGGGAGTCGTGAGGGCTGGGAACCGGCAGGACCACGCCGCCCACAGCGCCGCCTTCGGGGCACCTGCAAACTGCGCTCCCAGCATCCCCATCTCGGCTCAACCTAGGGACCCAAGACGTCGCTTCTCTGGGCCAATCGGAACCCACTCAGCATCTCCCTGATGCAATCATTCCCATCTTACAAACTGATTAAACCTGGGCTGGCTATTTTTATTTGGTCCTTATAAAAATAGCAGCCGTCAGTCAGGGTTGGCCGGGAATCAAGGCCTCTTGCTCTCAAAGCGCAAGGGGGTCAGCACTTAGGGGCCCATAGCGTCGCGACGGCGGGGGCGCTGCCTTGAAGTGCATGGGGGGAGGGGGAAGGTGCGCTCTGGGACACGCACGCCGAGAGCCCCCCAGGCTGCGACCACCCGGGGGATCCCTGAGCCACGAACACCGATCGGGGCTGCCCCACGCCAGTCCAGCAGGAGTGGCGAGTAGGGGTGGGGGTAAGCGGGGCAGTTCCAGGTGGTGGACACCCCCACCCTCACCCTGGAATCGGCCACTCCCCAGGCGAGAGGCGTGGGCCGGTTTGCAGACCCTCAGCTGTGCCTGATCTTGCCTCGCACTTCCCCCACGCCGCCGCTCCGGCCCCCGGTGTGACCACTTTTAATCCCGCCCCAGACAAAGCCAATCTGAACTCCGGCAGAATGAATAAGGGGATCAGGTTGCGCTCTCGGCCTCCCCTCACCCCCCCTCCCCGCGGCTCCCCTTCCCCACGTGACTCTCTGGAATCTTTGCCAAAGCTCCGAGTCCCTGGGTCCATTTTCACGCCGAGCAAAGGAGAAAGGAAGCAGAGCCCGGGAGGCGGAGGAAGGCGGGGCGTGCGTCCTTTAAATGCGGGGATCCAGCCGGTGCCCCAGTGCGTGCGTTTCTGAGCATTAAGTTGGGAGTCTCCAGTTCCTTCCTCTGTGCATTTAAAATGATGGCTCCTCCTCCGCTGCCGTAGGCGCTCCTCCACCCCGCAGAGCAGCTCCGGGGTGCGCGGTGCAGAGGTGGGTGTCGGTGTGGAGCAAGCCGCGCCCCCGCAGCCCTCCTCACCCAGGAGAGGGGCGGGAGCGAGAAAGTAGCAGCCGCGCCCCCAGCCCTCCCGGGAAGCCCGAGAACCGGCTGCTGCAGGCGGCTGAGCCCGAGGCGGCGCGGTGCGGCTGCGGCGCGGGCGCGTCCCGGGAGCCGCCCGCAGCGCCGTGCAAAGTTTCCAGCCAGCGGCCTCCGGCGCCCGGTGGCCGCACCGGGAAGTGGCTGTGGGAGGGTGCTTCTCTGTCCCGGGCGAGCCCCTCTGCCGACGCAGCGCGCTCATAGGGTGTCCAGGGAACTTTGCAGAGCCGCTTGGGACGAACGTGCTCCAGGACTGCCTGGATTCCAGAGCAGAAAGCCCGGGACATCCGACCAGCCGCTGACCCGCAACTTTCCGGAGAGACGTGGCCGCGGAGCTGTGCGCGCTGCCGCCGCCGGCTCTCCCGAGCGCTGCCTACGTGGGTGTCGCGCTCTGCTGGGGAGCTCGGAGCGCTCTCCGCCCGGGGCCACGAGTGAACGGAACCCCAGCCGCCTCGGACGCCTCTGGGCTGATGTGAGTGTCGCCAGCGCCCCGTGTCCTCGGAGCTGATCGCCTGCGGTCCCCCAGCCTCGGTACTCCGAAGCCAGCGGTTTGCCCGAGAGTCGGTTCTTGGATGCTGCAGGCTGTGCTCCTGCAGCGTGGGAGCCGCGGCGGCGATGGGAATCGTCCAAGTGTGGCTCGCGGTGGCCCTGGCGCTGGCGGCAGTAGCTGTGTTGCCTCCTCCTTCCCAAGGTAAGGGAACCGGGCCGTGCGCGCGCCTTGGTGCGGTGGGCAGAACTCGGCGCGTTTTTAGGGTCTGGTGTGTGGGACGGAAGTTATTCTCTCCCGGTGGCGGGTTGGGACGGGAGGCGACTTCTGCTGAGAAGATTCTTACCCCCGATTGAGTTGTGTTCAGGTCTCAGCCCCAGCCAAGACCTCTCTCTCTCTCTCTATGCCCCCAGTGCGTTTGGCTAGGTGGCTGGTGGGCCATCGGGGTGACATCCCTGGAATTGGATTATTTTTCTTTCCGCTTCCCCAGAAGGGAAAGCAACTCCAGAGAACGTCCGAGACTTCTGCCCTCGCCCCGTGAAACCTCCCATCTCCCACCTGCAAGCCTCATCGCTCTCCGGCCATGCTAGCCACGCTCAAGTCTAGTTAAGATTTTATCCCGACCTGGTCAGAGCGTGTTTTGAACGTGGGCAATTGCGATAAAAGAAACCTGCTCGGGACGGAGAGGCAAGAGCCTGCCTGCTTCCTCCCAGGAAGGAAGAAAAAAAAAGTAGCTCCTGAGAGTTTAGGTGCATTTTGTTCGTCCTCCGCCTCCCAGGTTTCCTCCGGGCTCCTACTACGTGTAAAATCCCGAGCTGGGGCCGAGAACGGAGATGGGGAAAGAGTTGTCGCCATGATATCGGGAGCGATCTGGGCTCAGCCCAAGAAATGAATCCATGAGTAAATCCGGAGTCGGCGGGGAGGAGGAGGCAGTGGGCAGCCGGGCCCTGCGACGCGAGGCGCGCGGAGCTCCCACCTGCTCCCTCCGGGAAGTCGCCCAGCCGGAGCGGGAGGGGGAAGGGCGCCGCCGGCTGCGAGCGAGACTGCTCCGTCCGGCCGCCGCGCCGGGGTTCGGCTTCGCTTCCCGGCTCTACTCTTGATTCATCCACCTGCCCGGTGGAGGAGTTCACCTGCCCGGGCGCGCAGCAGAGCCGCGGTGGCGGCGGACTTGGGACCCGGGCTCAGGACTAGGGGCGGCCGCAAATCCGGGGAGGACAAAGCCCTGCCTCGGGTCGCTCTCTAGGCAAGCGGCAGAGGCTCTTTAGGATCTTCTGGAGAGAAAGTGACCAGGCCTTGGAAGTGCCCGTCCATCAGGGGGCATTCCCCGTGGGAGAGAGGCGGCGTGCCCGCACGCTTCCGCGCGCTGTGTCTGGCGTGTAGCACCTCCGGGGGAAGCACTTTGCAGCCTTTCTCAACCGTGCACGCGTGCAGAAACAGTTACTGCATAGGTACTTGTGGGTGCCTGCTTAGAAATAGTCCTTGTAGGTTTTAATTTTAATAATAGGCGTGACAGAAGAGTCAGCCCAGGCCGCCCAAACCTGAACTTTGATTTAGAAAAACTAGTTTCACACGGTGGCAGTTTCTCCCTGAGAATCATCTACCAGCCCCGCAGAAAACCTGCTATCACTCCCGGATTGCTCACCAGGGGGCAGTTGGTATGATACACTTGCTCAGAACCAAACCTCTTGACATGACAGAAGCCATTATTAACAGCCTACAGGGTGCGCTCTTTGGAAGACCGGCTGATACAGTGGCAAAATTTGAGAACTGACGAACAAATGTGGGAAAATAAAGTCTGCTTCAGTCTTGATTAGTGGTGGTGGTGGGTGATACTCCTTCAAGGAATCTTTGGAGACTTGCTTTTTATTGGGTCACCTCACCTTCGGAGCGTCCTGCATTCATTGCACACTTGCTTTGATAGGCTGTTTCCATCCAAGTCATATTGATGCTTATCTAGTAACCAATGAATGGACAAATGCATGAGACATTTGAACACATTATTTGCCTGGCACTGTACTAAACACTTTACATACTGTGTCTCAATTAATTTAATTATGTGATACCAGTCTACAGACAAAAAGTCCGTTGTCATCCAATGAGATCTTTAGTTTGATTCTGTCAAGATTTTTTCTTTCTTTTGAAAATAAGAGCATTGAGGGTCTGGCACTTGGCTCAGTGGTTTTGATGCCTGTTGACATGCCTGCATTCCATTTCAAAAGTGTCTAGGTTTCAATCTTGGGTTTGCTTCCAGTTCCAGCTTCCTTTAAAGTGCACTCTGGGAGGCAGCAAGTGATGGCTTGGTGGCTTGTAGTTGGGTTTTTGCCACCCACATGGGAGACACAGATTGAGTTCCTGGCTCTTCCTGGCCCAGCCCAGGTTGTTGCAGGTATTTGGTGAATGAACCAGTGAATGGAAGATTTCTTTCTTTGCTTCTTAAATAAATAAAAACATTTAAAAAGCATTAAACCAAGGATCTTAGAGATTGCCTCCAATGTTATTATTAGTTAAGGGAATGATTTTTTTTCTTATTTTTTTTGGCAGGCAGAGTGGACAGAGAGAGAGAGAGACAGGTCTTCCTTTGCTGTTGGTTCACCCTCCAATGGCCGCCGCGGCTGGTGCGCTGATCTGATGGCAGGAGCCAGGTACTTATCCTGGTCTCCCATGGGGTGCAGGGCCCAAACACTTGGGCCATCCTCCACTGCACTCCCAGGCCACAGCAGAGAGCTGGCCTGGAAGAGGGGGAACCAGGATAGAATCCGGCGCCCTGACCGGAACTAGAACCCGGTGTGCCGGCGCCACAAGGCGGAGGATTAGCCTAGTGAGCCACGGCGCCAGCCGTTAAGGGAATGATTTTAAAAATGCAGAAGAAACATTCACATGTGTGCTTCTCTTGAGATGAACCCTGGTGGTTCCTTTCTTGGCTAACTTGTGGCGCATTTGTTTTCTTCTCCGTGCTTGGAGAACCTATCATACAGGCACCCGGCAATGTAGGTGCTTCCACAATTACAGTGGCTGCAGGTGTGGTCTCCCTCACTTAGCTGTGTGCTTATTAAGGGTTAGGGTGACTCCTAGTTGTTACCTCCAGCCTAGCTCCTAGTACACAGTAAGTGCTCAAAAATATCGTCTGATCACATCCTTTTGAATTAAACTTAAGTGGTAGACTGGCCTCTATAACTAGTTCACTGACCTTGAATGAACCACCTGACTTCTTTGGGCTGTGAGCCTGTCATTTATAAATGAAGAATTCGATGAGGTGATAGCTCTAGTATATTTTTTTGCTCATTGTCAAGCACAGAAAAAAAAGAGATGGGCATTTGCTGCGTCTTTTGTGATCAATTGCAACTTTCTGGTTCTAAATTTTCTTTCAATTATCAAGAGAAAAATGAACTTTTGCAAATAAATTATTGGCAGTCCCATTTTACATTGCCTTTTATTGCAAAACTGACATATTACTTTGATTTGAGGATGCAATAAAGTCAAGAAGTCACAGAGAAACCTCTAACATGCTGCTTTCTGAATCAGAGAAACTCTGCCTTGGCATTTTCTGGAGAGATTCATTGGGTGGTATTGCCCTGGAAGTCTCATGGAGTTAGAGTAGATAGAATAATTGGCTTGGAATAGGGAAAGATTATGCAATTGGAGGTTAAGAGATCTGAAGTCTACTTTGTATCCCATCACTCCCCTTGTGATTTTAGCAAATCATAACATTTCCTAGGCTTTTCCTGTAAATGTCATTTGTAGAGTACATTGAAAAGGATCATTTGCTAGAGGAAGTATTTTATTTGTAGGTGTGTCAGTAGTTTTGGTTGCTTTTAGATTGAGAGTCCCATAGGCTAAGGACTCAATCCTTCAAACTCAGTGTTAGGAAAGAGAAGACATCCACTGGGATATATAGTCTATCTTTTCATTCTCTCATTTCACAAACCTTTATTGAGAGCTTAAGTGTTAGGTTATATATTTAAAAAAAATTTTTTTTGGGCCGGCGCTGTGGCATAGCGGGTTAAAGCCCCAGCCTGAAGCGCCAGCATCCCATATGGGCACTGGTTCTAGTCCCGGCTGCTCCACTTCTGATCCAGCTCTCTGCTATGGTATGGGAAAGCAGTAGAAGAAGACCCAAGCCTATGGGCCCCTGCACCCACATGGGAGACCCAGAAGAAGCTGCTGGCTCCTGGCTTTGGATCGGCTCAGCGCCGGCTGTTGCAGCCATTTGGGAGTGAAGCTGCAGATGGCAGATCTCTCTCCGTCTCTGCCTCTCCCTGTAACTCTTTCAAATAGATAAAAAAAATTTTTAAGATTTATTTATTTATTTGAAAGGCAGAGTTACAGAGAGGCAGAGGCAGAGGCAGAGAGAGAGAGAGGTCTTCCATCTGCTGGTTCACTCCCCAGATGCCAAAACAGCCAGAGCTGTGCTGATCTGAAGCCAGGAGCCAGGAGCTTCTTCCAGGTCTCCCTCACAGGTGCAGAGGCCCAAGGTATTGGGCCATCTTTCACTGCTTTCCTAGGCCATAGCAAATGAGCTGGATTGGAAGTAGAGCAGCAGGGACTCGAACTGGCACCCATATGGGATGCTGGCACTGCAGGCAGCAACTTAACCCATTATGCCACAGTGCTGGCCCCAGGTTATGTCTTTTTTTTTTTTTTTTAAGATTTTATTTATTTGAGAGGTAGAGTTACAGACAGTGAGAGAGAGACAGAAAGAAAGGTCTTCCTTCCACTGGTTCACTCCCCAGGTGGCTGCAATAGATAGAACTGCACCGGTATGAAGCTAGGAGCCAGGAGCTTCCTCCAGGTCTCCCATGCAGGTGCAGGGGCCCAAGCACTTGGGCCAACTTCTGCTTTCCCAGGCCACAGCAGAGAGCTGAATTGGAAGAGGAGCAGCCAGGACTTGAACCGGCGCTTATATGGGATGCCGGCGCCGCAGGCGGAAGATTAACCTTTGCCACAGCGCTGGCCCCAAGGTTATGTCTTATAGGAAGATATAAATATCAACCAGGGGCAGGCACCGGCATCCCATATGGGCGCCATTCTAGTCTCAGTTGCTCCTCTTCCAGTCCAGCTCTCTGCTATGGCCCGGGAGGCAGTGGAGGATGGCCCAAGTGCTTGGGCCCTGCACCTGCATGGGAGACCAGGAGAAGTACCTGGCTCCTGGCTTCGGATCGGTGTAGCTCCAGCTGTGGTGGCCATTTGGGGAGTGAACCAACAGA